TTGATTGTTTTTCTAATGTTGAACCATCCCTGCATACCTGGTATGAACCCCTGTTAGATTGTTTTTTAATAGCTCAAAACCAGGAAACCTTAATACAGCTTCTGTAAGTTTATTACCAGAATTGGAATCCACATAGTACAGATGAGAGTTTACTGCTGACTTAAGTCCCTTGGCCGAGCACCTCACTGTCCCTCTTCTGGACAGAGCTCTGTCAAGTACCACCTGTGTGACGCTGGGTATGCTAATTACATTGCCTCCCTGTGCTTGTATCCTCACCACTCAAATGGGGATTAAAAATAACACTTAGTCCTAGGATGCTGAGAGGATTAAATGAGGGAAGGTACATAAAGTACAAAGTATAGAGCTTGGCACATAGTAAATGCTCAATAAATTGCCAAGATTATAATTTCATTCAAGACCTATGTTCTGAACCCTAACAGCCAATGAAGTTGCTTTCTCTTCTGAACTTTTTTTTCCTAAATTACTTTATTGTAATAATACATATAAACAAGTATTTGCCATTTTAACCATTTCTAAGTGTACAATTCAGTGGTGTTAATACGTTCACCACCATTGTGTGACTATCACCCTTGTTCATTTCTAAAAGCTCTTGTGAATTTTTTTGACTCTAATAGTCTATTTCATTCATCATTTTGCTTTTTTATTTTGCAATACTTTCTGTGTGCTGTATCTTACAAACTAAGGGACTATGTCTTACATTTCTTTGCATCTCCTATTATAATATCCAGCACAGTGCCTTAGATCCAACAGAACTAAGGCATTCACTCAGCAGGCCCCCTGTAGCAACCTGTTCTGCCTTGTGCATTTCAGGAAGGTGAGGGGGCAGAGACCAGGCACAGGCTGTAGAGTTAATATTAAACCCACCACCACAGAGTTGATTCTGATTCACAGTGACCCTATAGACAGAGTAGAAGTGCTCCATAGGTTTTCCAAGGCTGTAAATCTTTACAGAAGCAGACTGCCTCATCTTTCTCCCATGGAGCAGCTAGAGGGTTTGAACCACTGACCTGCTGGTTAGCAGCCAAATGCCCTAACCACTGTGACACATTGGGCAGTCCAACAACAGCCAAGGGGAGACCTGGTTAAAAAGCCCAACTGGGTGCAAAGGATGGTCAAAGCGACAAGCCAAGCACAAACAGGTAGCCTTTGGGAGCCAGGAGAGTTTGCTGGGAGCTGCGGCCTTGAGAGGGCCCTTTATCTTCAAGGGGCCTATGGTCATCTGGTCGGCTTCACCTTGGAAAACACATTTTCAGGTCTACAGGGCATGCAACTGTTGTCATACTTTGGGCTGAAGGCAGAGCTCAGTTAGAAGCTCTTCAACAGAGTGAGCTTAAGGGGCACTGAGGTTCTGTTAAGGGTGGTGGAAAAATTTGGAAATGGATAGTGGTGTGGTTACACAACATGGTAAATGTAATTAATATCATTGAATTGTACATGTGAAAAAATGTTGAAATGGCCAATGTTTGTTACATATATATTTGCTACAATTGGGAGAGAGTGAGCCTGAGAGCCCTGAGTACGAGAGGTGGGAGGAGGTCCTGATGCCACATCTGAGCCCTGACACCTCTCTGTCAGATTGGTGGCTGGACCATCAAAGCCAAGGTAGGGGGAAGGGACTTTATACCTGGCCTCCTCCAAGGCAGAACTGCCCTCTAATTCAGGTAATGTTTACTCTACCTACTGTTCCAATGTATCTCCTCAACTTCTTCTTATGCTCTGGGGTACATGAATAATAAAGCATACACATTTACATAAGAAAAATGAACATAACGAATCTAGCTAGAGTTTTTGATTACTACACTAAGAAGACTGAGGTTTTCCATTACATCACTGAGATACCCAAATCCCAGCTGGACTGACTTTCAAATAAAACTCCTCTTGCAACATACTTTCTTCGGTAAGGTGGGTTGGACGTGCCCAAGTGACCATAACACTTGTCAAAATATCCATAAACTCAGCATACAGATGAAGCCAGGCCTCATTTCTGAACAGGTGAGCTCTACTCATTCTGGATTTACCCAATCCACATGGCACAGTAATAGCTGTGGCCCCCTCCCAACCACGTTTCAGAGAACAAGGTATGGATGCTATGGTGCTAAGACTAGGAGATGCTCTCACCAGAACAAGCTCCTTTCCCAAACCTATTGGATGCATCTGGTGTGGATGACTGAGCCAGGCACTAAGGACGTGTGGTCCTTGCCTCTGAGGCAATGATGAACATGCAAGGGTGTCATTCAGGTATATGGCAACAGACGTGTGCCAGGAGGGGTACTAACCTGAGATCGGGTATGGAAAAGTTCAGTTAGGAAGGAGGTATACGTACAAGCTAAAATGTTTGCCATTTACCATGCGTGTAACAAAGGGAAAGGCACACTGAAAAATGTTGACCTGAGACAAAGCTGCATAGCAAAGTACTCAAAAAGTAATCTGGTACTGAAGTCAGGGTGGTTTGTGAGGGTGGGAAGAGTGAGCGGTGGTCGCTACCCCACAAAGAAGTAAGTGGTGTGTGCACACACCATCCCTGAAGAATCCTAAGACTCAGTTCAAGGACATTTGTCCACCTCTCTGTAAGAATCAAGTATGTCAGCCCACCTTCTCGGCCCCACCTTCCCCATGACAGGCCTGGTTCTAAGATCCAACTCCACATCTCCTAACCGATTCCACCTGTCTCAGTCATCTCTCCCACCTCCACCCCCCAACGATCAGCAAAAGATGGCAGCTTCAGTTATGAACTCCACAAAGCATCTCACATTCTAAGGTAAGCACACCTCCATGGGCAAACTTATCAAAGGTAATTACGAATCACCACAAAATGAATACAGACAAGGTGGAGAGGACAAAAGAAACATAATTTGAAGACTGTTAATTAGACTGCTATTTGTCACCAAACTGTGTATCATTCGAAGCCACGAGACTGCTGTAGCAAAACACACTTTGGGTCTAAAACACAAGCCTCTCTTCATTTCTGACATTTTATACATGAAGCCATATAAGCAGAGTGGCAACTTACTATCCAGGAGGCTCTGAAGATGTTTCCGGAGTGGGGCTGACTGCTGAGCTCTGTAAATGTCAAAGAAAGAAAGAACACAGATGATTTGTGTTGGCTCAGGTATTACACACCAAGGGGAAAAGGAGAGAAGTCACTTTCCTTTCTAACTGAGATAAGGACCTCGGGAAGACAAGAAGCCTGGCTGGAAAGGTTTCTGGTGCTGATGGGAGGGTGGTGGTCCATTTCTTTGAAGGAAATTTCTGGGTAGGTGGGCTCACCTACTCTCTGGTCCTTCCCCTTCCAGTGGATGCAGCCAGGGCCTCTGGGTGGCTCAGGCCCCCACTTTGTGGCTCACATTTATCTCGAGTGTGTGGATGGCCCACTATTTGAGCCAACACGCACTCGTGTTCCTACAACCACATACCCTTCACCAGGTTCTCCTCAACCCTCAGACCCTCCTGCCAAGCCCATCACAGATTCCTTCATGCACCCCACATGCCATCCCCAGTGTGAGAGTCACCCAACTCTTTAGAGACAGAATGTACAAAATGAATTTTAAAATACCATGCTGTCTAGAAAATCTGTGTACACCTGCAGGTTTAGAAGTGTGGCAACGGGGAGAAATGCAGTTCACAAAGCCTGTTAATGACCACTTCAGCATGGGTGGGGAAGGCTTTATGAAGTTATGAGCCACTGCTCAAAAAGAAGAGAACAATTAATCAAGAGGTACACAGAAAAGCAACATAATTATCTACTTCAGGATTTCTGTTATCTTGAAGAGAAAAATGCAAAGGGGTCAAAGTACTTGTTTTTGAAATAATGTGGTAGTTGAATAAGTCAATCCAAAAGTTAACTTAAAAAAATATTTCTCTAACAATGACCATTTGAAGGAAAAATGCTAATGGAGGAGAAGAGACATTTGGAGAAAAAAAAGAGACACCTGGAGAACAAAAGGGAGGAGGAGGCTGTGAAAGAGGGAAACAAGATGACCCGGAGGAAGAGGCCACTTGCATCACGGGCCACCCATCTGGCTCTCTGCCTGCGGAAACACCCGTGCTCCGCCTGTTGGGTCGTTTCATTTCTCAGAGCACCTGTGCCCCAGGGTGAGGACTCTGCTCCTCACCCCTTATTCCTCACAGAGGGCACCTCTCCTTACCTTCACATGCATCCTCCCAGCTGCCCTCATCTTGCCTTCCTAACCTCGCCTCCTTGAACCTCCCAGCCCTCGGCACCGGTTGCATTCTGGTTCTTCTGCGACTTTTGATGCCCATGTTGTGCTGTTGTAGGTGCGAGTCTGTTCCAACTCACAGTGCCAACAGAAGGAAATACTGCCTCGTCCCATGCCATCTCCACAGCTGTTGCTATGTTTGAGCCCGCTGCGGCAGCCATCGTGTCAGTCCACCTCAGCAAGGGCCTTCCTCTTCATGACACTCTGCTCCATCGAGCATGAAGCCCTGCTCCACGGACTGGTCCCTCCCGACATCATGTCCGAAGCACGCGAGACCAAGTCTTGCCGTCCTCGCTTCTAAGAAGCATCTGGCTGGACTTATTCCAAGACAAATTTCTTTGTTCTTCTGGAAGACCATGGTATATTCCATATTCTTTGCCAACACCATAATTTAAATGCATCAATTCTTCTTCAGTCTTCCTTGTTCATTGTCCAGTTTTCACATGCACGTGAGGCTTGGACCATGCCCTGGTGCATCTTGGAAAAACTTCTGCCTGATCTTGTTGAGTCCTCTAGGAATTCCTTCCTTCCTCCCTTGGTCACGACCATCTTATCCATCAGTGCTGTACCCCTATGGAATCCCTGATCCTTTCCCAGCAACCTCTAAAAGCTTTAGAAACCTCTAAGTATCCAACCCACTCGCCTTCCTTTGGAGCCTGCTTTTCTGGACCTCTCTGGAGCACTAAGTATTTCTCTTGTGTTCTCCCCTTCCTCCATACTCACTTTTCCCTCCTCTCTGAACTGTTGTTCTGCTGCCGTCCCCTCCTTCCCCTGTTCCATGGCCTGATACCTCCATGGATAACTGTTGGTCTCTTACCCTTTCTCTCAACATGCTTCTCCCTCAGATATTTCATCTACTCCCAGGGCCTCAACCATTGCCCCTCTGAAGGTGACTCCAATCTGTTTCTCAAACCCTTGCCTATCTCATGAGACTGTTTTTTTTTGTTTTTTTTTTTTAATCTCCACTGTCTGCTGAATACTCCCTATATGATACCTGACTAATTCTCAAAAGTAAACTACCAAACTAACTTACCCCTACACAGGTTTTCCCCCATCTTTCTTATGTCCAGTACTGATGCCTTCACTCTTCCAGCTGCCTAGCCAAAACCATAGAGTTGTCTTGTCTTCCCCCTCAAGTCTGTGTTCTTCACATCAACTAATGAAAAAGTGCTATTGCCATTTTTCTCTCACATCTGCCTTCCCCTCCCCTCATGCTGGTCCTATGCCAGTACAGGCTCCCATCACTCGCACCTGGACTGCCACAATAGCTCCCTCACCGGCCTCTCACTACAAGTTCTTCTTCCTTCAATTTGGCCTCTCTAGAGCAATGCCACTCCTCTGCCTAAAACACTTCCTGAATTACCTCATTGGCGTGACGGCAGACACAACCATGTTCTTAGTCTACAACCCAGGGTCAATCCTCTTTCCCAAACTTACCTCCCATTATCCCCATCTAGGGAGCTCTGGTAGCGTAGTGCCTAAGGCACTTGACTGCTAACCAGAAGGCTGGCAGTTCAAACCCACCAGCTTCTCCTCGGAAGGAAGGTTGAGCAATCTATTTCCATAGTGATATTGCCTCGGAAACCCAAGGAGGGGTCGCTATGATGGCATATAACAACAACAACAACATCCTCCTCTAAGACTTTTAATTCCAGCTGAACTAGCTATTTCATCCCTTGCATGTATCTTAAACATGGTTACATCTGTACCCTACTGCTTCTACTACGGCCCCCAAATGGATGCTCCCTAGCTTCACCACATACCTAACCACCCTTTGAGATCTCTGCTAACTCCTCTGAGAAGTCTTCCCTGATTTTCCACAAGATTTCTCTCTCTTCTGGCAATTACAGCTCATCCCATTAGTTTAGCTCTTACCAAGCACCAAAGTGCACTGTTGGAGACCTTTTACTTACGAGTGTCTGACTAAACCGTGAAGCTCTTGAGGGCAAAGTCTGTTTCTTACACTGATGCCATAGGACCCTGCGCAGCATGTCTTATGTGCATAAGGGACTAATGGGAAGATGTCTCATGGCCTCGGGAGGCTGCAGCTTAGGCGTTCTCCAGCGTCCTTCATCCTAGCATGTCTTGTAGATCATTCTGGGTGACTCTGAGTTTGCATTTGGCTGACCTGTCATCTCAGAGTGCCCATCCTGCCCGGCCCACTTTAGGACTTACCTGTAGCCACAGTCTCCCCTCTAGAACGAGCTGTGATTGTGTCCTACACTTCTGATGTTCAATCTCACAGTGGCTGCACCCGGCTCCGGTCTCCGCACCACCGGAAATGCAGGGGCCCCTCCTCCATCACCTCGATCACGTGTACCGTGTCTCACCTCAGCTGCTTCCTTGCGGTTCAGACTGCTGGGCCTCACCACTAACTCCTCTGGCTCTTGCATCCTCCGGTGACTCTGGATTCCCGAATCCCCACCACCCCCAGATCTGCCTGTGGCTGTTCCGCTTCTGCCCTCTTACCCCAGCCTTCCTTGGCTGTCGCCACAATCCCCTAGTTTCTCTGTCCCTTCCCCAGTTTGAGTCTCTGACTCTCATGACTTTTCATACTCAACTTACTCATGCCCATGATCTGGCCCTCCTGGTCTTAGTTATGCTCATTTATAACATAGGTCAGTTAGCAGTTTACACTTTTCTTGCCATTGTCTGTGGACCTTCCCGACTTCTTCAGCAGTGTCTGCAAAGCAGTTTTGTTTTCTATAAAGATATCTTTCCTTGTCTTTTTTGTTCTGTCAGGGAGTCCTGAGAGCAGTTCCCCAAACATTTGCTATCCCCTCAATCCATTCCCCAACCTTTACTTTGGACTTCTTCTCTGCCATACTGTTTAATAAACCACATTTTGACCTAACCTTCTTTAAAAATATCAATGCAGGTGAAGTTTCAAATGATTGTTGCCTAATAGGCACTTAAATCATTGTTGCTGCTTTTGCAAATGATCTCTGAGGCTGGTATCTCCCAGGGTTGCAAAAAAAGCCAAGGAAACCACCAAAACTGGCTCCCTGCAAATTCAGAGAAAGCCAAGGAAGGGAATTTAAGAGGGGTGCCTCCTGAAAGCGGAGCAAGAGAGTAACAGAGGGGAGGGCGACTAGTTTAAGTCACCAGCCATGCTTCATTCATCTGAAAACTCCCCTTTAAGGAAGATGCCAAGCTCAAAAGAAACCCAAGCAAAAATTAACTTCGAGGAAAAGGAATCTAAAACAGAAGTCAGAAAGCCATGCAACTTAAAATAATCAGCATAACCATCCATCACCTCAACGACATCAAAACCCAATGAGCAAAGAAGAAAACAAACAGCTTGAAAGGAACTGATGGCATGAGAAAAACTAGGAAATACCTGTGACAGGTTTGCACTGGGTGCCTTATTAAGCGTCTCCATTTTTTCTAAATCTGCCTCTAACTCTGTTGGGCAGAGGTTGAGATCTTTGTCTAGATTAGTCTGGGTCAAGAAAAAAAAGATGGGAAAGAATGTTTTATTTAGTTTAGAGCAAAGGGAGAAAGAATGGAAGGTTAAGTTTGAAAAACTGAGTTTTCTTAGTGTTATACTTTAAAAAGGCAAAGATGGCATGACTAAAACACAAGAGTTTACTAGAAATTAGTTAGAGACATGAAAACAGAGAATGCAACATTAGGCGTATACAATGTAAATCCTGACAGAATTAGAGCTTCTAAAAATCTAGTCTACTTGCTAAAGAGAAGAACTACAAATACCACAAAACCTACCTTTCAGGAAATCCCTAGGGTCTCTATTTCCAAAGTAGGGTGAATGTGACAATTGTTTTATGCCAGAAGAAATAATTTCTTTCAAAACCTTTAAATATTAGTATAGGTTCTTAGAGACTTTGTTAAACAGTTTGATCATCAAGCCAAAAAAAAAAAAAAAAGGAAAGGATTCCCAAATTAAAAAAAAAAAAAAGGTCATTTTAGAAAAAGAAGAAAAAAACAAAAATTAAAAAAACCCACAACACACTCACACTAAGCAAGGCGAGAAAGCACACACACATCCCCCGAGGGGGCGTAGCAGAATTACCTTTCTATCCTCTCTAGGAAGGATAGAGCAGTCTCCAGGAGTATAATCCCATATCTTTTTGGGAGGCTGACGGGAAGCAGAGGAGGAAATGAAGAAATGAGCATAAAGACATAAAGACAAACCCAGAGACTTGTTCAAACAGAAGGGGACACACTCGAAGAATCATATCAACACACAGAGGTGAACTCAAAAGTAAAAGGGGTGGGCTACTCTAGGAGGTCACCTAAGGTCACTGCCTCCAGGAGAGGCCCTGGAGAACCTGGAGCTGGAGACACTAGCTACCTTGTTTCCTATCCTGTGTCTCAAGAGTAAGTAACCGTCGGAACCTAAATATAAAAAACTTAAAGAAAAAAAAAATGAGAAAGAAAGCATTGACACCAATTTCAACAGCAACAACAACAAAAAAGATGTCAGTTCCTCATTGTGCTTTTCCAACTAAGATAGACACTGGAGCGTCTACATTTTTGAAGCAGTCTTTCCCACTGTAAAATTCATTATGTTTTAACTAATGTGTAAATTTAGTGATCTGGCCCCCATCAGGTAAGCTGAACTAAACGCTGTCTGTCCGTGGTTTCTCTCCCCTTCTGTGGCAATGAAATCCATTTATAAAATAAATGGGTGTTAAGTACTGCACTGCATAACTACACAATTTCACACTAGTAGTTTCTAAATTCTCATTTTACAGATCAGACAGAATTTGAAAGCACTGTTACTGATATAGACATACCTTCCATTCCCCTTACAGAATAGAATTGGAGCTTAAAGTGTACACTGTGAGGTTATTTCTATTTTCTCTCTTAAAATCTCTCATGTTAGTATTAGAGGTGAATTTCTAAAACATGTATATGTCAAGAAACGATGTAAAGTTTAATGAGGAAGTGGTGGGAGGGTGGGACATTAAGATGTTACATTACAGGTCAATTCTAACTCTGGAACTTGGCTTCAGTGTTTACTCCACCACTTGGTGGAACCTCTTGAGCTCCCCATTTATACTCGAGATTTCCTATTTGGTGGCCTGTGGGGAGATGAGACAGGAGCTCTGGTGGCACAGTGCCTATGGCATTTGACTGCTAACCAGAAGGTTCATGGTCCATGGGGCAATCTACTTCCGTGAAGATTTACTACCTCAGAAACCCAATGGAGGTCACTATGAGTTGAAATCAACTTGATGGCAGTGAGTTTTTAGTTTAGGAAGAGGAGAAAAAGGGCTCACTCATTTACAGCTCCTAGAATTGTGTGCAAATTTCATTATAATCAACTCTGTGGAAGCATTTCCCCTCCCCGCCTTGCTTCATTTTAATGAATCTGCTAAGAAAAGTGACCTGAATCCAAGGTGTGTTTATCACTGACAGCAACTGGTCAGCGTATCATCCCTATTATTTGTACCTTCTGTATTTTATAAAGTAATTGATGTTAATAATTATCATTTATCTTTAGGCACTTAATACACGTGGACTGTCCATTTTGGAAGCAGACTTTTAAAGTCACATATGGTACTCCTAAAGTCAATTATTTACTACAAATGACAAGAAAGCAATTAGAAATTAAATCAGCTTTAAATACTCCTAAATATAGTCTCTGTGATCTTGAAATATATTCTACAACAATTTGTTAGAGCTAAAAGGTATTACAGTCTCACTTGACATTTTAGCTCTGCTTTGGCTTGAAGGGCAAATGCCTAGTGTCAAAGTTCTGGCTCCACTAGATCGATGGAGGGAAGGGTGTATCAAGCTGGTGTGAAAAAAAGTCAAAGCGATGAGCCACACGATTTGATAGGGGTTTTCATTTCGTTTTCCTTTTGGACTGCATGCACAAATGGTTAGTGCGTTTAGCTGCTGTTTGAAAGGCTGCAAGTCTGCACCCACCTAGAGGTGCCCCAGGAGAAGGCCTAGAGGTCCAGTTCTGGAAAAACCAGCACTGCCATGGAGCATGGCACTGCTGACACACATCAGGCCGTCACAAGTCAGAGTGGACTCCACGGCTCTGGGGGTGCTGGGGAGCAGTCTGAATGGCTAAAATGCTCCCCAAACGACCTGCACGATGGAGACCACTGCCGTTTGTCTCTCCTCTTCTGCGGTCCACAGTGGTTGGGGTTGAAAGAGAACTGAAGAGAACAGACAATTTCTCCCCAACCCACCTTCTTCCCAAGCACTGGGAGTAATAGCCAGTCCTCAATTTGGAACCATTCATCTCAGTGCAATTTCTCAGCATATGAATGTGAAGCCATTTGGGTAAGTCTTCAAGAATGTTTTCTTTTAACGTAAGACCTACATAAAAGGAGCAGTCCCATTAAGACGGACTCTGAAGTCTGTGTAAGGAATGCAGCTGCCTTCAGAGCAAATGCTATTTTGGAAAAGCATCTCTAAGTCTTTAAATATTAAGAGGCAGCTACATCAGTGGGGTAGAGATACCAACTGTAAGAAGAACTCAATATGCAAATGGATTGTGTTCCTAACATTTGTCTGAATTGGTTGTATGGTGCTCAGACCACATTTTCTAGTAGAAGCAGTATTAACCGACCAAGCTATTCCCAGAAGCCTCTTCCATGTAAGCTGAGACTGAAAGACTGTCTATTGTTAACAAAAATAGAATAAAATTATTTGCAATGATAGATTTAGTAAAAAAAAACATAATTAATTAGAAAAAAAAATTTCATAACTTCTCCTAACAGCTAGTATTTCAGATGAAAACTAGTTTAATTATTAGGCATATGGAGAGATGGCTACAAGTTTATGGATTCTAAAAGGGACTTTAAAAAAATCAGTGGTATCGACTATTTGTTTATAATTTAACTCCAAACTTAGTAGCTTTTGATTTCCTTGATGAAGTTATGGCATTGTTGTTACACATCAATCATGATTTCTAAATTTTCCTTTTGGAAGTATATACATATTAAAAGAAACAGTCTTTGTTTATTTAAAAGAATAATGATTAGAATACTGTCAAATATTTGCATATGGAAGACTTATCTTTGCCTAAGATAGACTTAGTTGATGTCCATACGGTGAACAGCAGAGAAAAAAGGGAGAGAAATGAGGAGAAACGGCAGGCGCACCAAAAGCGTTGGGGAGGCGGGAGGAAGGAGATGGTGCAGGTATTGGGTGAGACGCTTTCCTCTCTTCTGGTCACTAGGGGGTGCTGTTCATTCATGATCGCTTGGCTCCTAGCTGGAGACCGGTCTAGGAGAGAGCCAGCAGGGAGAAACCTGTTCCTAAAAGCGGAATCTTTGCAAGTCAGGTGCCCTTAACTCAGAAGATGCCTGAGCTCTCAAATGCAGCTCAGCATGGCTTACTGAAATTATACTTCTGGGGCTCCAGTTTGATATCTCTTTGTCTTAGTGTTAATGAAAAGTATGTATTATAGAAGTTAATATTTTACTGAAATACAAAGTTAACTCTTATCTGCCAAAAACTATCATCCTAAACCACAGTAATTCAGATGTTTGACTCAACGTTTAAAGTCTCATATAAACATCTAATAAAAAATGTTTCACTTTTACACACAAAACTCCTCATTCAGCCTATAGATTTTTTTCTTACTTTTGATTTTTTTTTTTTTTTTTAGTTGGAATAATTAGGATTTAACTGGAGTTTTAACCTCAGCTTCCAGTCATCTCTAATGGAAGAATGAGCCCAATTCTCTCCTCGGATTGAAAACTGCTTCGGGTGCAGGGCTAAGAAGAGCCTCCCTTAAGGGCCAAAGGCATTTTGCACCAAAGCCAACTAAGAGGCATCACTGGGAAGCTGTCGAACATTAGGCTGAACATTTAAGTTTGCTAGAATTCCTAGCTTCCATTTCATATATTGGGAAGCATTATCCTAACTCATAGAAACCATTCCCTGAAAGTCACTTATAATGCGGTTGCATAAGGGGTCACACCTGCATAGAGAGGCTCCTGCTGGCCTGTTTGGGCCCTACCCTTGCATATGCTTTTAAAAAATGCCATTTAAACCAGTGACAGTGCAAGTCCTCTCTGTGTGTAATGCCGCTCACTGTCTGTCATCAGTAGGCCATACAAACTAGTCAGGAAGTGGAAAACTGCTGAAATAACGCCACCCACAGGCTCTTGATATTGGCTCCTGGTGGTGGGAGGTCCTAAGAAAAGCAGTGACTGTGTCTTTCTGGGCTATTCTGGCAGGAAATACTTGCAGAGCTCACTGCCCTTCGCTGGGCAAGTAAAGCAACGGAGCCCTCACAGGCTGCAGTGAGAGTGCACACTACTGATGCCTGACAGGCGACTCCTCACTCCTTGAATTCCTCACGAATAGCTCTGACTCGTTAGCAGCAACAGTGCATCAACAGCATCATTTAAAAAGGTGTCTATAACCACTGAAGCTATTAAACTTACCGGTTTCCCAAACTCCAATTCCGAAAAGAATTTATACCAAGGTTCATTCTTTAAATCTATCTCTTCTGGGCTTATATCCCGACTCTATAGGGGTTGGTGATAGGGAAATGGAAGAGAGAGAAGGATAACATTATGCAAAGATTACATAGGAACAGGCCAGTAGAGATGCAGTGGTTTCCAGGGCATATACCAAGGGCATTTAACAGCAGCAACCATCCACTTTGACTGGCATTAAGCAAAAAACTAGAGGAAGCTAAAACACTGGAAGAGGATGGTTTAAAAAGGGGAAACTGAGGTAGGGAGCAGTGAGTGATCATTCTCAGTCTCAAAGCAGAAGGCAAATGGACTGCAGATGCAGCCTCTGCCCCCACTGCTGCCCTCCACGAGAAACCTGGAGCTGGACACGAGAGCACTCCCCAACAATTTTCAGAACCATGGGAAAAGGAAAGCCCTTATTTCCTCTTTACAAAGAGCTATCAGTTACAAGTGAGTAACCTGGTGAGTACACCAAACATTTAGCCATCTATGCCAGGTGAGCAGAGCAAACAACGTTTATGGGCTAGTACAGTTTTAGTACTTATTTGCAAGGCTGCTTTAAGGTTTTCAAAATAAACGCAAATACGGACACTTTATCAAAGCCAATCTGTTAATACTGCATCTTTAATGGCACATGAGTAGGTGAGAAACCATGTCTTGTACACAGTAAAGTGAAAGATGATATAAGTAAAAACAGAGGACACAAGTGAAAAAAAAAACATATTTCCAACAAGCATCCGTGGGGATGAATACAGACAGAATACTCTGTGTTCTAACAAATACATGTTAAAGAACTAGGACAAAATAAAGTGAGGAAAAAGCTGGACAAGACAGATCACAGAACAGCGCAGAAAAAACTTCCGTGTTATATTACAAAATTATGTTAGATTTCTCATTTATATAGCTCAAAGAGGTAGCACCTAGAGACTGATAATTTGATTCCATGGGATTTCATATTTGATCGAATATTTATGAAGTTCCGATACCCTATTCTGTGGAATAATAAACATTTCTGGAAATAATAAGTTGGAAAATGGGTGCCTGGAAAGCAAATCAGAACTTCCCCTGAACAGACTGGAGATATACTCACTGAGACAAGAGGGTTTGAGGCTTGTAGCTTAACTCAATCACATATACAAATTCCAAAAAACTTTGATAGTCAAACAAACAAAAAAAAAGGTAGATTTCTGCCAATAATAAATATGAAATGTAAAAATTTTCTACCTAGACTGAAAACATGATACAAGAAACTTCACATCCCGGGGCTACGACACACAAGGTAGGGGACTGCCTGGAGGGAGCCTATGTCCATGTCTTCAGCACTTCACAAGCAGTTCCTCCTGGGCGCCATCTTTCTTAGCAGTTCAACTGACAGCTCTTTTGTAGCATGTGGAGTCCCTGGGGGTGCAAAGTGTTAATGCACGTGGCTGCTAACAGGAAAGTTGCAGGTTCAAGTCCACCCAGAGGTTCCTTAGAAGAAAGGCCTGGTGATCTACTTCCAAACAATCAGCCGCTGAAAACCCAGCGGAGCCCGGCTCTACTCTGACACCCACGGGGCTGCCAGGAGCTGCGAGCAACTCAATGGCATGGGTTTGTTGGCTTGTAGATTGTAGAAACTACCGTGAACTCTCTTAGTGACATTTTATTAACCCTTTCTTTTAAGATTCTTAGAAGAATCTTTACCATTATTTCTGTTTCTGGTATAAGCAGAGAAAGATTTGGACATATGGCAGAGAACCATCCTTTAACTGAAATTAAATAAATACTAGTTGAAATCAGAGGGAAATGTATACTGAAACACAGTTTGTCCTCTTTGCATTCAGACAGAGCGTCCTCGAACTGTCTTTAGCAACTTACAGCTTAAATCTTGTATGACAAGCCTTGCCCTCACTGCAATAAGTGATTTCTGAGTATTTTTTCAGTAGAATGAGGCATAGTACATCAAGGACACAAGTATTCAGGAGGGACAGATTAGACATTGGGACATTCTAGATCCTTATATGACAGGGTTTCATGGAAACCTCATTTCATGTTTATTATTTTCACAAAGACTATTTATAAACTACTCTCTGGGAATAGGTTTAGCTTTTTTTTTTTTTTTTTCCTTTTAATAATAAAATGTACCAACTCTTTCGGGACAAAGCTTGAACGTTTTGGGACTCACAGTCCTGAAAGAATTAACCCATTTTATTCCTGACAGTTGTCTGCAGACATTACTGCTGACATTAATGCTGTGCTGAGAATAAAGTCAGGAGGTGTGTTAGGAGGGTCCCCAGCAGCCTGCTTTAGTCCTTTGAGCTGCTCAGAGATAAAGGTAAAACGGTAACACAACACACCACAGAGCAGTAACATGTGCATTTGATTTTGCCATTTATAACCCATCTGCAGGTCCAGCTACGCAGCAAACAGAAAACATCCTTTGGCGGCAGAGCAGGACGTTGTCCTGGCAGGCAGGGCAGCTCCACAATACTGGGCACAGTCGTGCTGCAGGCTACTCCTTTCCCAACTTGTCAAAATCTTTGGAAAAGGCCGGTGACTTCCCAGAAAAATGCCCAATTCTCCTCAATGACAGTTTGGCTGCTGGAACAGGAGCCGGAGAACAGCTTAACAATTTAATTAAATAAAAATCTGAATGGGGTATGGTCACCTGCCCACTTTATAATGTTCACAGCTATTTTACCCACATTGTCACACTGGACCCTCTCACTCAATGTTTCACTAAGGTTGCTTCCGCCAGGTAAGCTTTTTATTTCATAGGAGCTTCCGAAAGGTAAAGTGACTTGCCTCAAGACAAAAGGCACAGTCAGAACTTGAACCCAGAACTCAGACCGTCCAACTCCTAGTCTAGTGCTCTTTCCACTATTCCAGTGAGAAGGGAACAGACCCATTACATTTGCAGATGACACTGAGCTAAAGCTCAGTGAGGGACAAACTTCAGATGCCAAGCAAGGAACCTAAAGTGACCTTTGTGAACTGGGGAGAAGTCAACCTGGGCAAAACTCCTTGATTTACACCTCCAACATAGATACTGTGTCTGTGATTACTATTTTTAATGTCTGTCCTTCCCACTGTGGGAGCAAGGACCCATATAAGGCTTAGCATATAAGAGTTATTCTATCTATACACGTTTGTTTGATTGAAGTTCTGCAGGGGCATTGGAGGGAAGTATACAGGAACAAAGCTCGGAGAAGGCCATTTCTGACAAAGCAGGAACTGACCAATGAGCTCTATTTCTAAGGCCAGAAGAGAAAGGACTCAGCCTACGATCATGGGGCGCTAGCTGAATAGGGCATCTGCTCTGTCTCCTCCCTCAAGCTGCTACGAACCGTGCTGCCACAGCCCTGGCCGGCTTAGGTCATCAAGGTTGTAAAATTTTCTGTGGGTGATTCTGAGGTGTTTCATTGACTGGGGCGGTCTGGGTGTGTTCCAAGGACAAGATGAGCTCTAGGACAGTCTGCAGAGAGTTTACCACCCAACACTTCCTGAGAAAAACCTACAGATGTGCCTCGAAGGGTGCAGTTAAAATTGCCAGGCACATAAGCAGACACGAGTACCTCAAACTGAAAAAGAAAACTCCCCCCACCGATTCTACATCTGCTACTAGTTAGTATACTTATCCACACTCAGTAACAACAGAAAAAGTGGGGAAGACTCAAATCCTGGCAGTTCTGATGCTGGATACCAAAAGGCAACTCACACACTGTAACTCATATTCCAACTTCTGTTCATGGTGCAAAAAAGGCAGGGAAAGGAATTCTAAAATAAAAGACAAATTCAACTATTGTGAAGGGTAGCAAAAAAAAAAAAACAAACCACCAAACTCACTGCCGTCAAGTCGATTAGACTCCAGCGACCCCTCCCTGGGTTTCCAAGGCAGTATCTCTACGGAAGTAGATTGGCCAATCTTCCTTCCGAGGAGCGGCTGGTGGGTTTGAACTGCTAGCCTCCTGGTTAGCATTCAAATGCCTATCAAATGATTAAGATTTGACTGGAATGTCTCTCTTAGATGAAAAACCTGCCTTCGGAAGAACAGAGCCAAGTTGGGTGAAAGGCACTAAATTAAATGATTGGATGATCGTGCTCCTCCTTGGCCCACCTTCAGTGTTTATGTCCCATTACTGGGTCCACTGAAGGATGTGGCACCACACAAAAGAGATTCTTGTGCATAAACACCTACTTGGTGTTGTGCAATTAATTTACATGGTCACTACTACCCTCTAAAAGGACACCCCCATGGGGGGATGACAAATGTATTTTTGGCGGTTATGAAAACAATACAAATGACCCCAAAAACTAAGATACTTCTAACCACTGTAGTATCAATAAGAAAAAACAAAACAAATCTTTATTTTTTTCCTTTGTTCTGAATAGTGGATAAATTGCTAGGAACCAAGAAAGGAAGGGGAACAAAGAATAAATTAAGAAAAGGGGCAAACTGTCAGTCAAAGCAATAGTAATCTATCAAAAGTAATGTTATGGAAACAAAACCACACAAAGGCCTACAAAGAGCCCCTGATCTGTTTCGGTGGGTCCCAGGTTTTGTTATTAAATGCCAGGAATACAGCCAAAGAGCGTCACTTTCCAGGAACACCTGTACGGAAGGCGACCTTCTGTGTTTGTTCCATAGCAGAAGCTTCATCACACAAAGAGCACCCCCAACCAAGGTGGGGTCAGAGGCAAAATGCTCTGCGCTTCTCTGAGTTCTGTGCTTAAAAAAGCTGCAGTACACAGTAAAAGTGGAAGAATGACAACTGAAGCATTTCTGTGAACTGCTGACCTTTTTTTTTCCTAATTAAAATGACATCCCTTTGTGTGTCTAAAGATGTCACATTTTAATTTTAGTAAAAGTCACATCAATTATTCCTTAAAAGCATGTAGGGCAGACAAGGTGGAGGGAAAATAATTGGAACCCACATTCTGGGGCTTGCTTTTTTTTTTGTACATGGTGTGGTAACACCAGTGTTTTAATAAAAAACTATCCCCAGCATGATAATTCTACCCTGCTGTCACAAGGTAGAGGGTGGCAATGTCTACGGAGCTTAAGAGAATCCTTCTAACCACAATTGGAATTATGAACCAGCTTTTTCTAATGAGAGGTTACTAAAAGGCAGCACGATTGGCAGATATGAAACGAAGGGGTTTGTAAGTATTCTTCCCTGCTGCACAAAACAGGCCGCCTCACTCAGGTGGTCTGCTGTGCCTATGCAGGCTTTATTCCCCACCCCCCTAATTGCTTGGTGATGTGAACTTAGGTAGGGAGCCATAAGCCAAACTGAATAGGAAATCAGTCTTCAACACTGCACACGCCCAAAAAGTCAGACTTAAAAGACATATTCTAACAGCCTGGTTTTTTTCCCAACTCATAACATCATATTACTTATTTAGCTTATGATACACTAGTGATGTCTATAGAACTGATGCACATTGAAATAAGAATCATTTAAAAAAAAAAAAATCAACAAATGTCTTCAGTCTGGTTAATCATCAGCCCAGTAATGAACTGTTAGATGTTCAAAACAAGACAGTAGCAAGATCAATCTTGACATTAGTATAAACAATAAAATTAGTCAAAACCATGCACAAAATGAGCCACAATAAAGAGGATTCTTTGGAAGCAGACTTTCAGGACTTATTTTATGAAAACCTGCAAAAATGTAAAGGGTGAAAATACTTCACTGTTTCATTGTCTTCTAAACAAAGCAAATCTGTCTCCAGGGAAAGAATGTAACCTGACTGCCCAAAGCATCAGGATCAAAGCGAGCTTTCATATGCACATTACCATCTTTTCGTTGGTCAGAACGGAGGACTTGCCCGGCTGATATTCGTAAATGCTTTTGGGCTCTGCACGGTATTTTCTCGTGTCCACTTTCTTATCTGGGGGCTCCCAATCGTTTCTGTAGAAAGAACATCCTATTAGAACTGTTTTCCTGAAAATCGACATCAGCTTTTGACACAGCCTGACTTTGGCTGACTTGTCATTTAATGAAGGCGTATTTATATCTGAAGCATAAAATCAGACTCGAGGGGAACAATTTAGTTGTGCTGGTTTCCTTCTCAACGCAACCAGCTCAGTCTTTGTGTTCACTTCACCAAGGGCTTTAAGGTGGCCTGTGCTCAAACCCAGGCACCGGGAAGCGGAGAGGAGAGAGAGAGGAGAGAGAAAAGAAGGGAGCGGGTAGAAGCAGCAAAGCTTGCTCTGGAAAAGCCTTTCACCTTGCTCTGCTCTCAGGAGTCTGTCACTCCCGAGACATGCCTGTCCCTCCCACTCACTCCGGTGCAGTGAGAGAGAATGGAGGACCTGGGGCCAGCAGCTGGGGTTCAAATGCCTGCACACTACCTGCCAGCGGGATGACTTGGCCACGCACTTCACTCATTTTTACGCACATGCATGTTTGCGTTTTGCACTGTGATTATTTCAGTTTCTCCTGCAAGTCTATAAACTTTTTTTAAAAAAGTAATTTTATTTTTTTGTTGAAAATGTACACAGCAAACAAACATACACTAACTCAACAGTTTCTACGTGTGCAACTCAAGTGACCCTGATTATGTTCTTCAAGCCGTACGACCACTCTCACCCCCCTTTCCCAAAATGTTCCTCCATCTCGAACACAAACTCACTGTTCCTAAGGTTCTCCTCTAACCTTTTGGGTTGCTGCTGCCAATTGGACCCCATATAGATAATTCTTTAAAAGGGCACAATAGTCAAGGCAGGCATTCTTTACTAAGTAAGCTAAACTACTGTTTGGTTTAAAGAAGACGTCAGGGATGTTTCTGGTTTAAGGTTTAAAGATTATCTCTAGGCAACAGTTTCAGGGTTTTATCCAGTCTCTATGGCTCCGGAAATTCTGGATTTCATGGGGATTTGAAATTCTGTTTTGTATTTTCTGCCCTTTTGATTATGATTCTTCTATAGAATATTTTATCAAAATGTTCAAATGGCATGATTACACAATTCTGAAGGCAGGGGTGATGGTTCATTTATGTTTATATTCTTCTGTAACACCTAGCTCAATCTGAACATGGGCATCACCTGGTAGGTGCTTGATGGACGGACTCATGAAGGGTTTATGAGTGTGCCCAGCCTTCACTTCAAACGAATTATCAAACTCTTCAGGTAGATGTCACTTAAGTATGTGTGGGGCTTTAAAAACAACCACTCACTTTTTTAATGAAGATGTAAAAGATAAGAAGGTGTGAAATTGAATGTGCACATGAAGTAAAAGTTTAACCAGTCTTTGTAGTGCTTAGAACTGGTGGAAGATGGGGCAGGAATATGGGACACTGGTCCAGATGGCATAAGGTTGCTCCACAGGGCATTTTCAGAGTGTTGTTGTTATGTGCCTTTGAGTCAGACCCAATTCATAGTGACTGCTTCTTTGGTTTCCAAGGCAGTACCACTATGGAAGTAGATTGCCCAACCTTCCTTCCAAGGAATGGCTGGTAGGTTTGAACCACCAGCCTTCTGGTTAGCAGTCAAGTGCCTTAGGTACTACGTTACCAGAGCTCCCATTTTCAGAGTAGAAGAACTAAATACAAGGATGTGGGGTTGTTCAGTGTAGGTATTAAGAGAAGACTAATGGCATCATTAAGGAGCTCTGGTGGCATTGTGGTTAAGGCATTGGGCTGTTAACCAAAAGGTATATGGTTTGAACCTACCAGCTGCTCCATGAAAGGAAGATGAAACCAATCTACTTCCGTAAAGATTCAAAGCTTTGGAAACCCGAAGCGGGTTGCTATGAGTCAGAATCCACTTGAAAGCAGTGGTTTGTTTGCTTTTAAATGTCATCCTTAGAACTATGCTCAAGCCTTATGTCCCAATAATACGTGTTACATAAGTAAACCCCATGGATAAAACAAACCCACTGCCATCGAGCTCATTCTGATTCATAGCAATGCTATAGGACAGAGAACTGCCCCACAGGGTTTCCAAGGCTGTAATCTCTACAGAAGCAGACCACCTCATCTCTCTTCCACAGAGCAGCTGGTGGTTCAAACTGCCGACCTTCTGGTTAGCAGCCAAGTGCTTTAACCACTACACCACCAGAGCTCCTGTTGCATAAATAAGTAGATGTTAAAAAAAATGCGGCTTCATTTTAAAATTACATTTTAAGTTATAGGTCTTGTCAGTATGCACACAGATCATGAAAATACCAAAATACATGACAAATCTACAGAAATATATGACAAATCTTGCAGCTAAGATTTTTCTTGTGAAAAAGCAATCGTTACAGTCAACATTAACCCAGCAGATACTATGAGGCAGGCATTACTACGAATGTTATGTGCATTATCTCATTTTATCTCTGCAACATTCCCAGGCAGGAGGTGTGTCATTTTTATCCCCATTTTACAGATGAGGAAGTTGAGGCTCAGAAAGAGTAAGTCACTGCTAATAGATGAAAGAGTACAGGCTTAAAACAAGGCTGACCTGACTTCTGTCTGACCCAGCAGAGAGAAATCACACTTTACTGGGAGGTTGTGTACAAGAGCCAAAAACCACAGAGCTGACTGGGTCCACATAAGACAGAGGCTTCCATGTTCCTGAGAAAGGAGGCTGCTAGGTCTCAAAAGACACTGACAAGGCCCTGACTGGTGAAACAATGAACAAACAATGAGGACACCTACCTTTCTGGGCTGGATCTTAGGGAGGAAGAGCGGGCTGGGAGCGGTAGTGTGGCTGACCTCTTAACTACCTTCTCACCATCAATGTAGTTCATCTCACTTTTTGAACGAGGCACAGAAATGGGAGACTTTGCTGGAGAAACAAAGTGTATACGAAAGATTTAAAACAAATGGCTCCCCCTGGAAACTGAAAACAGGATGATATCTTCCCTCCTCTCCCACCCTCTCGTCCTCCCCCACAACCAGTTCTAAGTCACTTACTGTCTTCAGAAAAGGAGTATCGAGGCGAGTACAGATCTGAATCATCATCTGGTGAACAAAACAAAATGTAATCAGAACTATCTCTAAGGTAAGAGAACCAAGTTTCAGGCTTCCCTCTGCTACAGACCTGCCACACCGGGGAGCCCAGCACTGGGCGCTACTGCCCAGTGAACATCAGGCAAGCAGGGTTTGGAGACTTCACCCCGTCAAACTGGACCTGGGCCCTGCGTACATTCACCACGCCTGGGGGTGACTGTGTCTGACACCAAGAGTGCATGGTGACACAGAGTTAAAGCTCCTCCTCAGGAGCGTCTCCACAACCAAAGTTGGAACACAGGGTTCCTAGCCTGGCTGGGTCAGAGGTGGGGCTGCGGTGGCCCGGTGGAAGGCCAAGATGGAGAGTCCTGGGGTAGCCCGCTGAGTTCCACAGAGCCCTTCCCAGCGACCTTGGAGTCTGCTATCAGAGGCCCAAACGGTGTGGTTTCTGGCTCCTCACCTCAGCTTTGACCTATTTTATATGTTAAGGTTCCATATACAATATAATACCTTTCAATAAAAACAATTCTCCAGCTAACAGTCTGGGAAAAAAACTATTGGTCCCACTCCCGCCTCATTTATTTGCTTTGATTCCAACATAGTATGGCTCCTTTCCTTCAAACCCAACACACCTGTGCGTGCTGATGTGGTTATCCAGGCTGCTCTGCAAAGTGTCTCACTGTGCATCTGGAGCAAATCAAACTCATGGGAGTTTCCACAGTGGGTGATAGCTCTGAGGGTGTGACAGTCAACCCTAAAGAAGCTGAACACTAGGCTTCTAAGATCTGCAGAGTCTGACAAGATCTGAACCTCATAGGGCAATGCCTGCAGTTTCTGAACTAAAGACTGGGCCACAGGTACACTTACAGGGACATATTTTAAACTTGGGACTGTCCTGAAAATGCAGGCTATTTAGTCACTGTAGCCACGATGGCCCTCTCTCTAGCATCACTCCAACATGAGTTTGCCTGAAACAGCCTTTTCCATTTCTTACTATCTTGCTCACCTGGAATTCAGAATTCATGAATATGGAATGAAGACCCAACTCTGTCCTTACAATCCGTAACAGCTTCAACAAAGCACATGAACTAACCTCTAAAGGCAGGTCAAAGAATCCAACGTAACATGTTCATGACTAAGTCCTTTTCCCCATGCAAACCATGTTAAGTTTCAGAGCAGAACAGGCCAGAATATTTCATGAGAGGTCAATGAAAGTAATACTGCTAATATTCTAATCACTGTTCAAACACAGGCTTCCTAACCACCGCCCCTTCTGCCTCCCACTCCTCTCCTCATTTTAATCTGCTCCATCTCACCCAGGTGAGTAAGAGAAAGGTCTCAGGTACTAAGGTACTCTTTTTTGCTTTCCTTTTGCTTTAAGCATAATTAGTCAACATCAAGGTTGAGCAGGGCTCAGGATTCTACCAGTATCATCAAGTTTTTCCTACTATAAATCAATTGTGCAAGCTTACTTATGTTAGCTTCTAAAAATGGGAGGAAAGGAGTTAGATAAGATGGGATCCAGAAATAAGTCTTTTGAAAGGCTGTTCTAAATAATTTTGTGCTGCCAGTTTTTTTTTTTTTTTTTTTAAAAACAGATCTTCTGATTATTGTACCAATAAAATGCCATGAAGCCAGAAGACTAAAAATTAGCTTTGACTGCAGAAGTTTGATTGGAAAAATCGTGCCTCCCGCAATGAAAATTAGTTTGTTAGAAAGCAGTATACTAACTGCTTAAAATCTAGTCTAGCCTTTCAGCACAAACCCTGTACCTCTCTCCCTGAATCGTAGAGAACTTATAGCCCTTCAGCAGATGGTAAGGAGAGGGTTAATCTACAGTGAAACCTGTGGAGCTGGAACTCCAGGAGACTGCTTTGTTTTCCTGAACCTCACAAATTTTCTGCCTTTGACAGGTGCAGTCCTACCATTTTTCTATGGCTCTCTCTGAGTGGAAAATATTTATGTTTTCCTTCTCTGACAGGTTTCTGCTTTACACGGGTTCCAGCTTTTACAAGTTTTACTGTATAACTATTACTTCGTTCTTGAGGTAAGAAGCAAAATTTTCATGGGAAAAAAAAGGCATTAACATATTCAAAGATTTGTCTTTTAAAGCTGGAGCACTTAAAAAAAAAATTTCTTCTCCCTAGAGCTTTCAAATGTAAAAGTGTAGAAAGTCTATTAGAAAACAAGAAATTGTTTTTATAGGATGGAAAAAATAGCACTGCATAGGGATTGAAACAATTTATGCACTTTGAAAAGTAGCAGAAGCAACATGAAAGATGGTGGGTGAAGGCAGCAGAGGCAGTGTGAATGGTGGTTTCTTGCTCAGTGTTGGTGGAAAAGGAATCTGACTCCAGGGCTCACCCAGGGCAGGGCTTTCTGCGTGAACCGTTCGTTTCTCAGACTCAGATCTGAGTCTGGTAGTTGGATTTCAGTTCACTGGGTTTTCAGAGGGCAAGCTGCAGCGGTACAAACTCATCTGAGCAACTTAGCAATTAGGACAAGTTCTAGGGGATGTGTAATTTATTCTTTTCATTTTTGATGTTTGTCTTATAAATCTAATGAAAGGGATTGATATTTCAGCTTATGAATAAAAATAATTATCTATCATTAAGTGCCTGGTACCAAAAACCAAACCCACTGCCATTGAGTCGACTCCAGCTAACAGTGACCCTCATTGGGTTTTTGAGGCTGTAAATCTTCACAAAAGCAGATTTCCTCATCTTTGTCCTATGGAGTGGCTGGTGGGTTTGAATCACCAACCTTTTGGTTAGCAGCCCAATGCCTCAATGACAGTCCTACCAGAACTCCTCTAAATGCCTAATAAAGCTGCCCCCCCCTTGAAAAAAAACAAACAAACTCATCACCATCGAGTCAGTTCTGACTCATAGCAGCTCCTTTTGGGTTTGCAAGGCTATAAATTATTATGGGAGGAGACCACCTCATCTTTCTTCTATGGAGTGGCTGGTGGGTTTGAACCACCAACCTCCTTGTTAGCAGCTAAATGCCTTAACCACTACATTATCAGGGCTCCTTAAACGTCTAATAGTAGCTGATAATTTACTAATATAGTCTCACTTTAATTCTTGCAAAAACTCTGAGGTAAGTAATATTATTATCTCATTTTACAAATGAAGAAACTAAGACTCAGAGAAGCTAAGAAACTTGTCTTCAGCTACACAGTGGGTCAGAGACAAAGCAAGGATGGATTCAAGGTCTTTCTGACTCCACCTCCCCACACTAGCTTCCTCTGCCCAGTACTGGCAAAGGTGAAAAACTGTGCTTATTCCATTTCAATATTATGGGAGAGTCAAGGGAGGGTGTTGTCTTGAGACTGAAGTCTCGCCCTGCAGCGTCGGCCAGGCTGATTTCTAGCTCCTGAAGCCTCTGCTCTACTTTTCCACATCACCCCTTCCTGGTGCTTATGAAGCAAGTGTTCTCGGAGTTACCCACCACCCCCTCCTAGAAATCCTCCTGCTGGTTTCCAGGGACAGCGGGTGCATCTAAGCCACTCTTGCTACATCTTCCATTTGCTTCTTCTGCTACCTTCTCCTGGCAGGCTAAGTCCACACTGAGCAAGATCGCTATGAAGTCAGAAATGCCAGTGAATGGGAAAACTTGGTAACTGGAAGGAAAGGGTCACTCGTTTGCCTTTCTACACACTAGAGCTAGCCAAACGAAATGTGTGGGGTTTGAACACTTCATTTCGTTTAACAGTTGTAACACACAACATTTCCCAAGTTGTTGATGAGCCAGTATCTAAAATCCCACCCTCACTAGTTCTCCAAGGGTCTAAAAAAAAAAAAAAAAGGCCAGAGTGGGCGCAGCTGAGCCAAGGTCTTGTGATTCTTGCTCGCAGTAGAGCCACAAGCTGGTTGTGGCCCAACAGCACTAAGCAGAGGACATAAGACCTTGGCAGCAAGACGCAGAACTTCCTGTGCCAATGATTTCCAGAAAGCTCCAACACTACACAGGGTTTACACAGCGTGAACAGCTCACTTCAGGGCCCGGAAGGCCCCTGCTGGCTCTGATGTTTACATACCAATGATTCTCAAGTGAGCATTGCCTTTTTGTCCTTAGAAGCCCAATTTGGGGACAGCTACTCCCCTAAAACTGCCAGGAGTCATATATTTGCCTTTGTAACCACAGAGACTTTAAATGAGCTTCTGAAACACTTTTTCTGCTGTTTTTTTTTTTTGTTTGTTTGTTTTGTTTTTCTGTTGTTTGTATTTATAACTACCTTAGAAATAACTAGAAAAAAGGGCTGGCTGAGAATTGCCATTCTAAAACAAAAAGTGTGTAACTGACCCAAAATGAGGCAATAAAAGCATCCTTTGTGACATCACTTGCCTACATCAATCACATTTCAATTTTATGCATTTCTTAGGCCTTTCAGCTTAAAATTATTTTCACAACATTAATGGCTTATTTTTAACACAATCCTTTTTCTACTGTTCAAATTCATTGCTTCTCCTGTTTTCTCACACACACCTGGGAAAAGGAAGCATGAAGGGCACAATTATACACACACACACACACACATACACACACATCACAGATCAAATTATTCAAAGGAAAAGGGAGACGTGTAAGGTTGGATACAAAGCCCGAGTCGGATGGAAAAGGAGGAATAATCAAAAGGAGAGATGGGGCCCTGACATCAGGAAGTCCCGGGAGCTTGGGAAATGACTCACAAAGCTGTGTACGTGTTGGTTAAAGGAATCAAGTTTTGTTGTTGTTGTTGTTGTTGTTTGCCGTTGAGTCGACCCTGACTCATAGCGACCCCTCCTTGGGTTTCCAAGGCAGTATCGCTACGGAAGTAGGATTGCCCAACCTTCCTTCCGAGGAGTGGCTGGTGGGTTTGAACCGCCAGCCTTCTGGTGAGCAGTCAAGTGCCTTAGGCACTATGCTACCAGAGCTCCTAATCAAGTTTTAAAGGATGAAAAAAAATATTGAGATGAGGTATAGAACTGGTGTAGCAGATAAATACAGGGGAAAAAAAAAAAATCTGA